AACTAACGTACGTAACGTAACGTTACGTAACGAAACGAAAACGAAAACGAAAACGAAACAACAACAAGAACGAAGAAAGAAAGAAGAAGTAGTAACGTAAGAGAGAGAGAGAGAGAGAGAGAGAGAGAGAGAGAGAGAGTACCTTGAGGCAGTATTCACACTGATCAGACCAGCACACAGGACTTTGGTTTGAAGAGAGCTCTTTCAACCTGATACTCTCGCTCCTAAACGGAGTGGGGTTATGGAACCTCATATCGTTAACGGGGACCCTCTCACTCCCAAACGGCTCCGTCACCCCGGGCCTCATGCCGTTTCGCAGCCTGTACCTCTGAACTACGTCGGTTAACGCCATGTGACGCTCCGTCAAGCCACCGCAACTCATGGGAGCCAGCCTATTTGGGAAATTAACGGCGTTATGACGCTCAATGAAAGAAACGTTACCAGGAAAAGCGGGGAACGGCGAGGCTTGCTCGGAGTCCGCTTGCTTTCTCCTTTGCTCCTGAAGCCTGAGCCGCTCGAGCTGAGCCACGCCTAACCCCCGCTGAGGCACCTTCTTCTGGGAAGAACCAGAGGCGTTGATCTTGGACTTTCTCCCTCTAGATCTGCCTTGGTCGGGCTGGTTCTCTTGATCTTGGTCGTTGGTTTGGTCATCAGGTGGTGGAGAACCGGAGGGGGACCACAGGAGAAGAGTAGTGGCCATTAATTCGCAGACAAGAATACAGTGAATGGGTTTTGAATGTCTTCAATGGCGAACTGAGAGGGTTTTAGGGAGATTTCAAGAAGCACTCCTTTTCTGTCTGTCTGCTTGGGCCAAAGAGCAACCAGAAATGTTGCTCTGGTTCCAGAGAGATGGATTTATATATAACCCACACACTCTCTCTTTCTATCTAGAAATGCTTTGAAGAAGACGCACTCCTCGCACGTGCCATGCACCACCTCTCGAAGTCACTGGTGCCCGGCGTCTTCTTTTTCGTTTCTAAATTGCTGGCAAAGTTAGCCCTAGAATTCACGTAAATGACGTGAAGATCCTAACCTCTCAATCATTTTTAATCGCTCTGCGGCCCCTGATTTCTTGTTAATCCTTAGGTATTTTAAGAGATTTTCTTGTCTGAGTTGGATTTAAGAAAATTGTATTTAGGTGAGATTAGTACATTAAACAAATGAGGGTCTTGAGAAAATCTTTCAACTTTGTGAACAAAAGGGATTTTGTATAAAAAGAATATTTATTCTACGAGGGGGAGGTTATAATTATCTTTAGCTATTCGATGTTGATCTCTTTGTATTAAGAATAAATAATTTTATATACACGATCTCTATGAGTTCACATACTAACATGTAAAAATACGGATTAATAATTTATTTTTCAAATACATTTGATGCTAGTTTTTTGGAAACGTATAATATTTTAACATGGAGATTATTAATTTATAAAAGTAATTAAATTTTAAAAACTAAAACTTATATTTTTTAAAAAAAACCTTTGAACGATAAATTTTACTTTTCTTTTGTAAGACTATTATTTACTGGACAGTTAGATCTTCTGAGCCCACATAATAGCAGGTCCGGACTTGGACGCGGCAAACAATTTTTCTAATTTTATTGTGTAATTTGCGACGGCAAACTAGTGAGCCTTTTAGGAAGTGGAGCCAAGGGCATTTAAGGGGATCGTATCGTCATTGAAAGAAAAGAGTGGGGGTTCTTGGGTCCTGTGGCTATATCCAAACCGCATTCAGGTCCAAATATTCGCGAGATTTAAAGGCTGCATCACCCAACCATGACCCTCTCTTCTCCATTGCGGTCCCCGCCCGCTTCTGAATCGTGTTGCGAAGACGTACGGGCCCCTCACCCCTTTGTTCAGTCGCCGGTTTATCTCTCCCTCGTTGCCATGTTACACAAATGCCCCTCTTGTAAATGTCATATTCCACGGGAATTCCAGGTATGATTTTTTGGAGAGAGAACCACATTCCCACTATTAGAAAATCCCCTCTAATGTTTCAAAACGGGGGCCGGTGAAGTGGATGATCCATCCTGTAAATCATGGTCAGATTGCGGGATCGTCGGTTTAGATCTCGTCTAAATCATAAGTAATTCGAAAATATAAATAAGTAAAAAATACATTTAATGTTGAATGTATTATGGTATTTAAGGGGTGTGGTTTGTATGAGGGTGCAACTTTAAATAATCAAATCAAAGTGTACTTTCTTAATTTTAGTATAAAAAATTCTTACGATGATGTAAGAATTTATTTTTTATATTTTATTTTCAAATTTTAAATTTTAAAAACGATTTAAATCAAGCTGACTTATAAACATATAAAAATCATCAAAATTGACGGTCCAATAAGTTATATAATTTTTAAGATTTGAAATCTCTTTTTTCCTCAATATCTATCCATCTTGATATCAATTTGATACGTTTACAAATTCATAACAATCTTTTTTTAAGGATGTTAGAAACAACACTTTATATGCGACCAAGCCAACATATGTAGAAACGCAAGACTCTTACTAAATCTAATTTTGAGATGGATTTTTAGATTTTATATTTAAAGATACGTAGTCTCTAATATGGAGATCATGAATATGAAAATAAATAAATAATTTTAAAAATTAAAAATAATAATTCTAATAAAAAAATATTTGGACAGCTAATTTCTATTGTTTTCCGATGGAGCACCTGGATGCTTCAAACCTTTTGAACCGCAAATAATGTAGTCATGAGGTGCAGCCCACGAAACAAATTTCCTTATCCATATCCTCCTCCATTTGTCCGTACTTTACATTAGTAGAATAATGCCCCGATAATAATGCACAATTCCAATTATAACCCCACTGGTCCCAATTTCGCAATCCATTTACTCTCGAAAATGTGGAGGCGAAAGGACCCGAGAGAAGCGGAGAACGGTAAATCGCCACGTGTCCATCGAACGGGTTTTCGGGTGGCTGGTGAACCGGGAAAGAAGGAGTGGTCTAATACGAGGAAGTTAAAAAGGACGAGGGCATTACTTGTTGTACGGAACATGGCGGCTACAGAAAGCGACGTGGCAGTGCCAATATCCAGGTAGCACGTGGGACTGGTCTTGTGCCGTACGCCCCAGCCATGTAACGTGAAGCCACTTCTTTCGCACATCGTTGGCACGTGCCAAGGTGTAACTCGGGCTCGGATGGGGCCGCTCCGCTCGCTACAAATATCTGGGAGCAAAAGTACGTGCAACTCCGTTTGCTCACGTTGCATGGAAGCCATAATTACTCGGGGCCGTCCAATTTTAAATCTGACGTCTTTTGCGAGTTTTTAATCCAGAAATATTCGGACACTATATCGATCATGACAAAATTAATTTCAGAAAATAAATAAAACTCTATAAAGATGAGAAGATAAATGATCCTATAAGACCCTTCCCAACATATGTGTGTAGGTCCCGAAAATATCATCATTAAATTTGGCACGAATCTAAAAAAAAGTCAAGTCTCACGTTCATATGAGTACTTTTCTAGAGATCCATACTAACTTTAATGATGATCCTTTGATGTTCTATACACATAAATGGAAGAAGATCATATAAGAACATTACTCGAAAGGATAATTCAAAAAAGAGGAACAATTTAATATGCTACCTACCTCTTCTGCTTTAATTTCAAAATGCCCAAAAGAATTAAGATGGTCTTGGGTGGAAATGGTTACAAATGAGTAAATCGGTTGAATAATTCATTTCTCATAGGTATTTAATAAATTTCTAAAACAATTATATTTTGAGTTATATGATAGATTTATCGGGACCACATAATAAAACAACAACATCAATGCCAAATATAAAAATTGTATTAGCAAATAACAAGAACGGTACACCAACATATGGAAATCCTGTTATTAAAAAAAAGAAAAGAAACAGAGACCCTTAGTATAGCAATGTCATTAACTAAAAACTCCAAATATAAAAAATGTAAGTCAATGGTCCATCCAAAATGTTGCCTTTTATACACAAAAGGAAATAGCAAAAAGGATAAAAAGGTTAAACTAATCAAACTTTTGTATATAGAAAAAAAGAAAAAAAAAGCAACAAAATGCTTAATAAAATCCAGATATTCAAATCTCACCTTGAATTCTTAGCTGTGTAAATTTTTAGTTGCCACTAAATCTCTCTCTTGATCTTTACAATGATGCTTGTGGTTAGAGAGAAAGAAGAGTTTTTAGTTGGGTTAATCTTCATTTTAACTCTACCTCTTATTTTAAGATAATACAGTTTTTATGATAGATTATCTTTTTCAGAAATATATTACTTGTATTTTTTAAATACATTTCTTTTAGAGGAACATGGTGTTGAGATTTTTTTGTTAAGCCAAGATTCTTTATTTTGTCGCAAGATCAATGAAAGTGAAATTCAAAGACAATCAATAAAGAGAATGGAAGCTTTAATAAAGTTATAAGGATGAAGTTTTACAAAAAAAATAAAAATAAATAAATAAAGGGATAAAATGCGATTTCTATTTGGTTCCATTAACGGGCATTTTAGTCATTTTAGGATAATTTGATGAATTCGTTCAATTTCTGTGTGTGGATAATTTTGGTTTAATTTTGGGTAAATTGATAAAAGGCAAAGGGACCCAGGCTAATGGTCTAGCAGAGTTGGGGAAATTATTAATAGACAAATAGGTGGGCCCCACTCAAAACCTGAATACCTAAAAAGCCCACCACTTTCAGTCCTAGAACTGGAAAAGTTTGAAAGAAATCGATTGCATATTTGGCTATTTGTGTATTAGGGTAATTATGATCATTATTAAATTTGAGGGAGGGGAAGGATTTTGTGGCCATATATATATGTATATCAAGGGGAGGATCCCAACAAGAAGATCTCAGAGGAATTCAATGTTTGGAGTCGTCTTTTTCAGATTAAGGGCCTTTTGGGTCATGGTGCAGGTAAAAGTTAGAGCCTTTTCTAGGGTATATATGGTAAAATTAGACCATTGCTTTCGAGAATTGTACTCTCGTGGGCACAGTACAGTGCATTTCCCTTTCTAGTAGAGGGTATTTCTGTCAGTTTTTAAATACCAGGGGTACCACCATTTTCGCAGCTTTGGACTTCCCACGATGAGTAATCCAAGGATACTCATGAAGGAGAATGCATGCTTTGTTAAGGGTGGCTGATTTTTTTTTTTTTCGGGGCTATTTATCGGGGAAGACAAGGCCTTATCTATTTTTTTCGACAGATAAGGAAGTAAGTTTTTTTTTTCAAAGTGTCACAAAAAGGCCGTAGGATTGAAAATCACAACGTTAATAATTAAGCATGGAGTTGCTACCACCGTAACGCAGCTGCTTTCCTCGAAGTGTAGCGTTTAGGTCCGCCTTGGAATGCATGTCTTATGTCTTAAAACCGATGAAAATCAAGGCACATGCATGAGTTGGTCTAACTGTTTTTTTTTTTTTTTGATAGTTTTCCTCCTAATCTCAAAGACCGAGTTGTTCTCATTAAGTGTATTATATATACTGAGCCGCATAGAATTAGAGCTGGGTGTGCAAGACAAAGACGTGCAAGAGTTTTATGTGACTGCAAGCTGAAGATGAAGTTTTATAGGACAATTATTTAACCGCTTTTGCTTTATGAGATAGAGTGTTGGGCGGTCAAAAAATAATATATCTTTAAGATGAGTATAGCTGAGATAAGGATGTTGAGATTGATGAGTGGCAAGACAAGAAGTGATAGACGAAATGAATACATTCGGAATAACTTAGGTGTGACTCCAGTAGGTGATAAAATGAGAGAAAGTAAAGTTAGGTGTGCTGGCTATGTGCAACACAGACATAGTACAACACCTGTTAGGAGGTGC